TTTTTTAGTAGTTAGTGTCAAAAATGGTTTGCGTGTATAGCAACTCGGAGTTGATGGATATCATTTTAATTTATAGTGACAGACAACATTTGTGTTATGGTGAAGCAAGACAACATTTGTGTTAGTTCGTAGAAACTGAGTAAGACGGACCCAAATGTGTTTACACGTTGGTGGATTTTGAACAATTGTTGTAAAATCGGGTATGTCAAATGATTTTATTATTTAAAAACACAAATTAATTGTATTAATTAATAAAGGCAAAAGCAGTTGAATTTGCCGATATAAAATAGATGCGATAAAATTCTATTTACATATTTCTTTTCTTGCGAAAGTTTTTGTCCGTTTTTATCACACCGCCATGCCGGTCGCATTGTGCCAGGTCAGGTTTTACAGAGGGCCAGTTTCCAGTGCCGTGCAGAAGTGTATTTTTAAATCATTTTCGAACTGCCCTTTCTGATTTTTTCTTTACAAAATTGTATTTGTAAGGGTCCCCTGTACATCCAGAATTTTTTTTTAGATAAGTTCTGAATCACCCTGTATAAGGCAAATATATATAAAGGAGACTTTACGAATTAAAATGTATTTTTTTTCTTTTGCACTACAAACCATAAATAAACTAGAAGATAATACAATTATAAACACGCTGGTACAAAAAAAGGAATAAACAAAGAAGCATGCATTTAAGTAATCTACTACAGGTGCTACGATGAACGCTACGCCGCCAATGTCTTTCTGCCTCGTGTATTGAATGCGGTTAATTCTAAGAAAGTGACGCAGGGGCCTTCTTGGAATCTCAACAAATATCGTACGGACTGTAAGTAAAACTTAATATGATATTATTAAATCAAATGTTTATCTTCATTAATGATGTAAACTTGCAAATAAATAAGCGTTCTTTGGTTAACTTATTATTGTTATCCAAAGATATCTTTATCTATTCTAGAGCAACTATTTATTTATCTAAGTTACGGTCATAATAATTTCAAAAATATTAAACGAGTTTTTGAATTATTAAAAATTTAGGTTTTCTCTTCGTTATAAACAAAGTTTTACTCACAAACGTCGTTTTGCCACCACCAGATCATATCCTAATAGATAAGTAGATGCTATAAAACAATATAAAACAGCATACTGTTTTAGGTTTGTTTCCTCGTCATTTTCAATCCTTTCCTATCGTAAAACAAATACAAGATGGAGTAAATATCCTCAATTATTAAAAATTGATTCAAACAAATATCAATGTTTGAGATTGGTCCTACTGAATAATTACAATAAAAATTTGAAAAAGTAACACATACCTACTAAGAATTAATTGATAATTCCTTGATTGTATAAAAGGAAAAGGTGGGTACTGTTGTTGAACTAGAAGGTATATTATTGTTTTACCATCATCAGAAGTCAGTATGCATCAAGCTTAGTAGTGTGTACATACGAGTATGTAGCTCAACTACCTAATAAAACAAAAGCTTCTGGAAAAGGCTATGAAAACTTTAAAAGAAATACCGCACCATCTATCGGTCAACTGTTCAAGCACATTAAGGAGGATTTTTTTATACGAAACAAGCAAATTAGCAATTTGTATCAGTGCAGCGAATTCCTCGTATTTTTGCTGAATAACAAAATGGAATATCAGGATATTCTCGTATTATTTAAATAGCGTTAACGAATAACAATCCCTACTGCACTGCACTGCACTGCAAATAACAACTTTGTTTTTAATTACTTAAATCATTTTAGAGATATCTAACTTCAGTTAAGGAAGATGATATATTTATTTGTTGTAATTCGACTATTGTGAATAATTCTATACGTTTACACTGTTCAACCGACAGTTAAAGTAGCTTTTCAAAAATATAATATGTGGTACTTACCTTCAATAGTTTTTGAGGCACCTATTGTGTATTTTAGTAGTTTTACATAGCCTTATAAGAATATTGAAAATTAAACAAATATTGTTAACCTGTCAATTAAATAATTTACTTGTAAATGCAGCAAGGAGCGATACAAAGACAATTTTGACAAAAATAATCCCATTTTTAATTTGTACTAGATAAAACCAATAATTAAAAAAGTATTAACTTTTTTATGCAAGACGTGAGTATGGACTATAAGTACATTTCCTTCAAAAATACTTTTAGGGCATTAATACCACATGAGAGGCAACAAATTTTTTCAAAAATAAAAAAAACGAAAAACAGTAACTAAAAAATACCTGAATAAAAGTATACAGATAATAAAGATACAAAGTATATTTAAAATATTACTGTCAAAACTGTTAGGTAGGTCCTTTACATAAATTAAAATAAGTAATGGACCCAAGACCGACCCCTGCTTAACATCATATATTACTTCGAAGGCATAACACTTTATATTATTGCAAACATCATACTGAAATCAGTTGGTTAAATATGAACATAGTAGAGATATGCTGTCGTTTGAAAAATAGTAAAAATATAATCTTTTTATTGAGAATGAGTCAGACACTATTGAAAACTTTGTTTTAAATTTAAGAACTGGGCACTTACGTAATTAAATTCTTAGAAAATGTTGCTTATAAAAGCTATCAAATAGTTTATTGCTAAATCAGGTGACAAATCATTGTGAAATGCATATTTTTGACAGCTAAAGAGTAATAAATAAATAATATCTCGACAATTATTATATATTTTCGAAAGTTCGTTTGCCGCTTTTTCCAATGAACTAAAGATCTAGGGCAGCGGTCGGCAGCTGGCGGACCGCGGTCCAGGTCCGGACCGCGGAAGATAAAATACTGGACCGCCAACAATTTTTTTAAAATATAGATTACTCAAATAGATTATTTAAATATTGTTTTTACGTTTGAGTGCTACCCTTATTATTTTTTCAAGTACTTTACAATTATGTTGTTTGAGTTCTTAATGGTTAGTAAGCAGATTTTTGAGTACAAATCAAAATAAAAAATTAGTAAGAAACATGATTTTTTTTTCTGAACCTCGTTCAAAATTTTCAAAAGTATCCGGACCCCACCTAAAATTACTTGCCGACCCCTGATCTAGGGCATTCCAATTAAAAAGATGTAAGCTAGACCTATATCTCAAAAATGCTACTACATCTTTGAAGCACAAAAAAGAAGGAAAAAATTTTTTTTGGTACTTTTTTTCTCCAACAAACAAACAAATACGGAGAAAAACGAGGGTTATCTTTCTAACTAAATATTGCAGGTTAAGTAAATAAACAGTGGCGCACTTATGAGTATTAACACGTCTTTTTTTCCCAAAAAAAATATGCTACTTTGTATAATTACTACAAAATGTTTTTTCGTTTACTTTACCGTTTAGAGACAAAATTGGTTTCCTTAACAAGTTTTTTTTTGTAATGTAGTAATAATAATAACTAAAGTGGTAATTTACGAAAGCTACAAGTTTTTTATTTTATATCTGCTTACCAATATGCTACAACCAAATTTATTGGTAATATCCCAAGCTGTTTAGAAATTAAAAATGTTAAATGACTTTTTTTAATTGTGGAAACCCTATAGCTCGAAAACGACAGCCTATGTGTATATAACCAAGTAATTAAATTTTTGCCATACTTATATACGTGCCTGGATTTTCTGCACGTACTTAGAAAACACCCTATGTAAGACAATTTCTTTAAAATTACATTATGATAAATATCAAATCTGCACCCTTTGCTTAAGTGGAAATAAAATATAATTAAATTTTTGAACAAGGCCCCAATTAAAACGACTTTTAGAAAAAAACAACGAATTGTATTAAAAAAAAGAATGGTATATTGTTAACAATTGTTCATATAAACAAAACCTTAAGAAACGTAGGGGCTAGTGTCGAGATTCAGTCTTCGCATTTGCTCGTCGATCCAGGATCTAAATTTGGCTACATCGGCGTAAACACCCGGTACATTCTGGCTTCCGCATCCGATTCCCCAGGCCACCATACCAGTCAGGAGATATCTGGTTGGGTTGTTGGGGTCAGGACATACTAGTGGACTGCCGCCATCACCCTGAAACCAAAATATGTTAAATAGAGAATAAAAACAATATACAGGGTGACCAAATGAAAACGAAACAGAACCATTTTCAGGAACTGCGTCAAGATTGTAGAAAAACGCTCAGACCCGTCGATTTTAGATTAAAGGGGGACATTCTTTGCTGGTATTTTTGACTCCGCCACTTTCACCTCCAAGCAAGGGTAAGCATCACCCCAAAATATTTAAATGGCATTGGGGGTTGAGTAATATTTCTTTTGAAAGCTCTTTACAACAGACTTTAAATTTTATAATTCCGCCCAATACTTATTAAGAATTTTTATTTTAAAGTTGAAACTTACGTACAAACAATAGTAACGGTAAAAATGTCAGTCATTCGAGTTAAATACGCCAGTGGTATAAATTTAGTATTTCTTGAGTTACATTGGTTTTTGGCGATTTGTTATCACTTTCGTAAAAAAAAACAGTTGTAAAAAACAGAAATCAATGCTATACACACACAATGAACGTAATATTAGTGGCTTCCAAATTATTTTCTAGTATTATTTGGAAGCGTTGGTTGGTAGTTTATTTAATTGTGATTTTGAAAATTAAACACTGTGGTTTATTCCATTGCGGAAAGGGTAGATATCATTTCGCTTTACTTTATGAACAAAAATGTTTTTCATAGAACAGGTCAGCTATTTAATGAACAACATCAAGATCGACATGTCAGAAGGAAGTATGTTCTAGAGTTAGTAAAAAAATTTCAAGAGACAGAGAACATAGCCAAGAAAAACCTATAGTTAATGAAGCTAGTGAAGTTGCAGTTGATCCTACATTAAGTACGAGGTAGCTGGCATTCTGTGTCTGGGATCAATCGAACTAGCATACAAACTATTTTGAAGAAGAATAAATTCCATCCATACAAAATACATTTAGTCCAGGAACTTCATGAGGATGATTATGACCGCCGTTTGCAATTTTGCGAAATAATGAGTGAGCAAGCAGGGAATGATCCACAGTTCCTTTTTAACATCTGTTTTTCTGATGAATGCAGTTTTTTCTTGAACGGGACGGTAAATCACAATTGCCGCTATTGGTCCGATTCAAACCCAAGAGTTTTTCACGAGGTGCATACACAGCAACCGGAAAAATAAAATGTATGGGCTGGAATTTGACTGGCCAAATGTATTTGCAATTACTGGAAGACGCTATTGACCCTGCTTTGATTAATATTATTGAAAATGTTCCAGAGTATGAAGAAGATCATTTGATTTTTCAACAGGACGGTGCTCCTCCGCATTATGCGTTAATTGTCCGTCAGTATTTGGACCAACGTTTTCTACGGAATTGGATTGGGAGAAGAGGCATCATTGAGTGACTCCCACGATCACCGGATTTATCGCCCCTTGATTTCATTTTGTGGGGATACCTAAAAAGTAAAATCTATAAAACACAGCCAGCGTCGCTGGAAGATTTGCGTCAAAGAATCGTCGACGAATGGTGTCGAATCACTCCGGAAGTGCTTCGGAATGTGCTCGAACGTTTCAAACAAAATCTTTATTCTTGTACGGAAGCAGGCGGTCATCAGTTTGAACATTTAATCAACTAAGTACTAAGTAAGCAACTAAACATATTTTAAATTTTAAAATGTAAATTTTTTCCAAAGTAATGGGCGGAATTATAAAATTTAAAGTCTGTTGTAAAGAGAATTGTAAGAGCTTTCAAAAGAAATATTACTCAACTCCCAATGCTATTTAAATATTTTGTGGCGATGCCTACCCTTGCTTGGGGGTGAAAGTGGTGGAGTCAAGGTCAAAAGTCTGTTTCGTTCTCATTTGGCCACCCTGTATAACTACCAAGATTCCCTCAATTAAACTTTTTGTCTGTTTGGTTTGTTTTCGAGATTAAAACGAGATGGTTTGATAAAAAGTTCGATTTTTTAAATAACCTACAAAAAAACAATTGAAGCGATTTCATTCAAATTTGGGATGACACAGGCTTGTTACATACGGCGGCATAGTTCCAGAAATAAAGGAAATATTTTTTGCCGTCAATTTTTTGTCTGTCAAGTTATTTTAGGAACCAAATTTTCAAATTAAAGATTAATACTTCCTTACAATTCTTTTCATAACGATCTGTGAAACGATTATTTGTTGAACTTGAAATAAACCATGTATTTTCATTAACTTTGAATACTTTGTATCTCAAAAACGAAGTATTTCACGCTCACGTTTCAAGAACTTTTTTTGTTAATTTCTAACGGAGAAACCATGATTACAATTTTTAAGCATTAGATACTCTCCCAGTGCCTTAATTTTTTTCTGGTGACATCCACATAAAATATTTGTTGCGAATACCTACCGAGCAAGCATCTTTCCCTTCTTCTCCACCAGCGCAAAGGAAGCTGTCGTGAAGTACATATCCAGCCCCCAAACGAGTCTCTCTTAATGCAGCTTGACACTGTCCTACAGGGACGATGGGGAGTTCGATTTTCTTCAAGATGTCCTGGTATGTACCTTCCGATCCTAAAAGACAACTCCTTGTTAAGACTCGAATGTTTGGAATGGAAAATTTACTCACCGAAAACGTTTTTGCCCCAACCGCTGACGAAACAATTCTTAGACTGGATAACTTGTGCCTGATCTGGCAAGCAGACAGTACCGATGTGCTCTGCCTTGTCCAGCGGTGATTCGAGCACGAGTAATGCGAAGTCATTGAAGACTCCCGCTGCGACAAAGTCTTTGTGAGTGATAATATTGACAACGTTCCTCTCTTGGTAGGGAAGTCTTTCCCTGTTGGTTTTTGAGTCCCATTCTCCAGCTCGGACCTTTATCTCGTTTGCCTTGAACCTAGAAGAAGACTTGTTAAAAGAAAATCGAGTTGGGTTTAATTCGTTCATCATTTGGAGATGATTTGTAAGAATCTTAGGCGTTCAGCTCATACCAGATCAAATTTAGGCTGATATGGGATTGTTTGGACTCTTTGATAATGCTGAGATAGGAGTTTAGCTTAGCTGATGAGTTAGGGTAAGCTAGAACTATCTTTCTGGGTTATTCAGACACTCGTATAAAACTTGGTGAAGAATAAGGCTAAACAATCAATGGTATTACAAGCCCCTAAAGGTGGAAAATCATGGTAAACTTACTAAATATAGAAGGAGATGATAGAAAACCTACTGAACCAAAGTCACAGGTCAATAAGGATGACAATAAGACTGTTAACAAGACATTGTTGACTCTTTTGAGATAGCATCTGAGTAATATTGGTTTGGAAGGAATTATTTTTAAGATTGAGTACGACAGAAAGAAATTGGAGATAATATATAATATATCAGTTTTTCTAGTCATAGCTTTTTAATGGAAAACTGAAAGTAAGGTTACAGGTTCATTGATTTGATAGCTACAATTGGGGCACCACAAGGGTCGGTGCTTGGTCCCCTATAATTCATAATCTTTATTAATGACTACAATGTTATACTGTTTTATATGCAGCTTCCGGGAATCTAAGATTTATTGTTAGAAATTCCAGAAATTTTGCAAATAACGATACTCTGATATTATTTTTCAATAATCCAGGTATCCAGATTCACAAAATTAAGCTAAAAAAAATTCAGAGGTCTTCTTATAAACATTTGTAGTGGAAAAATGATAGTATTTGGAAAGGAATTTTTTCCCACCCTATAGTTGGTTTCATCTATTCTCCATCTAGATAGGTGTCCACTTGAATAAATAAATATATTTGCGATCTACAATAGAAAACTTACTTGTACACGCAGTGAGCGCCAGTCAGAACCACAGACGGACTTATCAAGGAACCCCCGCAGAAAGAGAAGTGCTCTTGAGGCGCGGGATTAGAATTCCTCTTTATAAGAGCGACCATCCATGGGAATTCTCCGTATTCCGCCTCGTTATCGTTGTTGCCAGTAATCTTGAAGTCGATGCCATTCTGATTCCTCACGCCGCAGTAGCTTGGGGTGAACGGAGGGGCGGTAGTACCAGCGGTCGGAGGGGGTGTAGTTGTAGGTGGCTTCGCGTTGGGATCAAAATTGGGGGACAGTCCTCCCTCTGGGATCTTACAACACACCTCCAGGGGGTGGCCACATCGGTTCTCTCCAAATCTGGAAATCATCATAATTTTGGTACAACTTGAGCAAATTTGTCTTGTAGGGGGGTTTTAGATGAGCATAGGAAAGTTTTTACATTGAAGGTGTATACTTTGTTATTGAGGTATCCTGTCTTTGTTACTGCTGTTGCCAACCCTTTTCTTGACCTGCACATCTCTAGGACAGATGAGTTTAGTTAAGCAGTACGAACATTGGGCGAAATTTTAATGAATTCAAGAATATTTACACAGTTGAACGAAATTTTAGGTCAGTGATTATAATTGTAACAGCAAATATGAATAAATGAATAAATTATAGTTATTGCAAATATGTAGATAAATATGTAAACATATAACGAGTGTTCAAATAAAAACGTGGTTTGCTCTGACACATTGGACGTAGGGAGTAGTTTATAGCGACCAACTTAACCTCATTTCTCAACGAGCTGTATAGCAGCTGTCAGTTTCAATAACGTTAATGACTATATAACTTTATTTTAAAGAATATACGTGATAACAATAACAAACAATTAAAGGAGCTGCGGAAAGTGTCCCCCTCCTTGTTATAACAATAAATTAAAGCAGCTGCTGAAAGTGTCCCCCTCCTTGTTCCAAGCACTTTTCGCACCTGTTCCTCAAAGAATTAAAGACATTTTCTAAGATGCTCGGGGTATTGTTAATTTCACGAATCTTGTCTATAAGTCGAGCCTGCAGATGGAATAGGCAGTTCAAAAATAGTGTTTTTAATATCACATGACCTCGGTGGAAATTCATGTTCGGCATTGAGACTTATTAGTCTATTTTGGAAAACTTCCCTCAACATATTCATCGTCTCGCCTGCCGTATGTGTCCTTGCGCCATCTTGTTGAATGTAAAAGTTTGTAATTTCGTTTTCTTCCAGCTGGTTAACAAAAGGAGCGATAATTTCTTCTCTATACCTTTACGCAGTAAGAGTACCATTAAAAAAAATAGGTCCATAAATCCTCCTTCGATTGAGAGCACATACCAAACTCCAATTTTTTGAGCGTGTAGAGGGCCCTCGACAAAAAGTTATCTGGTTTTTCAGAAGACCACATTCTCATATTCTGTAAGTTTACGTAACCACTTAAATGAAACCAGGCTTCATCAGAAAAAAAGGTGATATTATGAAGTTCACCTTAGTTGTTTAAAAACCATTCACAAAATACAGCCCGTCGCGGAAAATCAACTTCAAGAAGTTCTTGCTGACAAGTTAAACGATAGGAGAACAAACGCAAATCTTTTTTTAACACTGTGTGGCAGGTACCGACTGATACTCCCACCATTTGTGATAAAACACGTACAGAAGTTCTTGGCGCATTTTCCATTATTTGTTGGACATTTTCTTTTAATTCTTCGGTCCGCTTTTTAGGTCGGCCGCTTCCTTCTTTTCTTGTTACACTGCCCGTTTCACGAAAAACATTAACACGACGCTGAACTGCACTTTGAAAAATTTTGTACTCAACAACGCCGGGAAATTGATTTTGAAATTCTATGAAACATTCCTCAATAGAATACTTCCATATTCCATCAATCTTGCGTCCATTTCTAAAGTAGGACTCTATGATAAACACTTTTTGTTCTTGAGAAAACACCATTTTAAACGCTTTTTAAAACGAAAATATTCAAAGTGATAGCGGCGATATAGCGCTTTGACAGATGACGTTTAAGTTCATTTGCTATACGCTACGCCCTACGTCCAAATTTTCAGAACCAACTTGACCACGTTTTTATTTGAACGCTCGTTATATTTATATCACGTCATTTTTGAGCAATAAAACACTGTTATCACTCCATAAAATGCATTCAATTCAATCACGTCATTTCCAGATGTCTAAATTTTGTTTATCGATACATATATTTATCTTCAAGAGTCTATTAAAATGTGCAAAACCGGAATTACAATTGCAAAATCACTTCAGACTTGTTTAAATAACAATTTTTGTAAAAATAGAGATGAGTGATGATTTGTGTTTTTCCAGTGTTGATCGACATACGTAAAACTATAATTACAGATCAAAACAAATTAAAAATCTCGCAGGCTAACTAGGTACGTGGGATTGATAACTTTAATCATAGCCTTTGTGTCTTTTATGGTAATTAATTTCGCATAAACATTCGTTCTCGTGCTTAGGAAACTATTTTCGTTATTGATACCGCTACAATAACATGTCGTAAAAGTTTTGCGACAATGAATGCATCAACTTACACTGCAATAATGTTTAACTAACTACTGACTTACGATACAACGTGTCATGATATGTATTATTTAAATTAATTTAAATCTTATTAATAAGACCCCTAGACTACGTGATCCTTTTTCGCTTTTAAAACATTTTTTGGGACCTCAAGCTTGTTACGAGGCTTGTTATTTTTGCGCTTTGTTAAGATCTTTTTATGCTATTACATTAATTCAAGGTAAAACTTAATAAATACTAATTTATTCTTAATTAGTTATATTTTATGTTAAACTGAACTACACTTTGCTTGTTTAATATAGTATCACTATTTTAAATTAACATCCGTTTTGTTATTTATCGAACAGATTTTTGGTCAGCGTGTCGAAAAATTATGAACAGTGTTATTGTTATTAAATTGGATTTAGAGTACTATTAAAACAAAAGAGTCGACATGCTTCGTAGTGAAAATAATAATAGCATTTCAAAACAATTGATATCTAGGAATTGAAGCAACAATTCCAGTTTTCTTGTAATACAGACGATTGTCGACACAACTCTAGGAAATAGAGATTCCTGGAAGATGATGATGTATAATAGATTTCTAATTTCAAATTTTGACATTCATTGTTGGAAAAAAATATCATAATGTTTGAAATTAAATTGTGTCTGTTCCGGATTCAGGTCACTACTAAACTGTTAAACAATTAAATGAAGACATTACTTTTAATAAAATTTTAATGTATGATACAGATATGGTAAGTAAGTTCATTGCGAGCTTGACACACATATCTTGCTATATTTCATATAAGGCATGACATTTAAGGTTTCTTTTAATCAATGACGAAAAGACAGCTTAAAAGGTATGGTGTAATAACTAATAGATGTTCCCAAACGGCCTTGGCTTTAAATTCGAGAAATCCAGACGGCGACAGATTATTAAAAATTAAAGTAGAAATTTGAATTGCGTCATAGATTATCTTATTTGAGGTGTTTTGATATGAACACTGAACAGCTTAATATTTTTAATCATTAGGTGGAATTAATTTCCATATTCTTGATGTTATCTTTAACTACTTGTTTAGTATTCCAAGGATATACATATTCATAAAAAACAGGGTTCGTTCTATTGCTGTATCGGAGGACGTTTAGTTCATTTTTATTTAACAAATAAACTGTTTATTTCAATGCAAAATGCAAAGCACTACTGAATTAATTATTTAGAATTTACAATTGTGTCAGCCTTAGTTATATTTCTTTGTATTTCGATGACAAAGCGTTTAGTATTTAAATTTTTATAGTCAATGCCATTGTAGAGATAAAACTCTTTTAGGTCAATATCAGAATCATTGTCTGTTTCAACTCTCAATTCTTGCGAACAACTTCTTGAAAAAAATCCATTTTAATAAGGAATGCATGTCATTCTTTTCAAGTGATTGTCATTTTTCTATTTCCCAAAAAAATTATGTTCATACTAAATTAAAAAGCACTCGAATTTACCCCATCACACTTTTTAGGAACAATTTTTTGCTTAAGCTGCAATCTAATTTTTTGTAATAACAATTTACCACACGGAAAACTACAACTTTGTGTTTTTATTAAAAATTCTTTATAGAAATTTAAAATGTCATTAAATTTACATAAAATTTCCCAAAGAAAATCGAGAATAGATTTTATCAATAAAATTAATGATGATTTCTGATATTTAACTTTTATGCTTTTTATTATGATTACATTTTTCTCATAACAACCTGTGCACCTACTTATGTAGAAAAAATGTTTTTCATGAATACGTAAATATGTATAGAATAATTGATCTACTAATACCTAATAATATACAGAGTAATTCACAAATGATTACCAAAATTGAAACGTCGTATCCTTTGGTGAATTTTAAGGAGAGTCTTTCCTATAGGTTTTTATTTAGGACGCTTCGTTAAAAAGATACAGAATGTTAAACTTTAAATTATATTTTTAATTTTTTTAAATAATTTAAAGACTAGTACGTGAAATAATTTGAAATTGGGCGCATGTATTTATGTAAACATTGTCCAAAATCTGAGGGCTTTTCCTAAAATGTACATACTCCAGTGGCGGAAATACAGGGTATCGGTGTGATATTTTTCGAAATAAAATAGTACGCTACTGCTTTACGGTAACACCATGATATTTTCGGACTCGTCTTTCAATTTTCTACAAATTACTACCCTCTTATGTTTTTCGAAATAAGCCTGATTTTCGAGTAAAACTAAAAAAAAACACTGAAAACACTTTTTCTTAAATGACATGACCAGCACTAATCACTCGGTTATTTATTCGAATAAAGAAATTAAATAATATTAGACATCCTTTTATGATTTTATTTGAGTAAATGCTCAAAAATACCTCCATTTCCGTGAAAACAGGCCTACCATCTTTTTAGTAACGAAAATGTAATTTGTTGGAAATTTATTGTTGCTTGCTATCGAAATGTCTTCGTTCATTTTTAAGTTTTACTCGAAAATCAGTTTTTTTTCGAAAAACATAAGAGATTAGCAATTTGTAGAAAATTGAAGGACGAATTCGAAAATATCATGGTTGTTACCGTAAAGCAGTGGCGTACTATTTTATTTAGAGAAATATGCCACCAATAAATACCCTTTATTTCCGCCACTGGAGCATGTAAATTTTAGTAAAAGCCCTCAGATTTCGGACAATGTTTACATAAATACATGTGCTCAAGTTCAAGTGATTTCACTTACTAGTTTTTAAATTATTTAAAAAAATTAAATACATTTTTTGAAGTTTGACTCCCTGTATCTTTTTAACGAAGCGCCCTTGATAAAAACTTTATAGGAAAGACTCCCTTTAAAATTTACCAAAGAATACGAGGTAGCATATTTGGTCACCATTTGTGAATCACCCTGTAGATATGACCAATGAGCATACTGAAAAAAAAAAACAAATTTTAAATAAAAAACCCTTTTTTCCCCAAAAAGTTCAATTATAAAGTTTTCGAAATAGTAATTTACAGTATACAGTATTTTGAAATCTACAGTATTTATAGTGAAATATGGAACAGTCTACTTTTGGCGCAAGGGTTATTTATTTAAAATTAATATTAAAAAAATTCTATTTAAATTATGTGACGAGCGACGTAAATGTTGTTGTTGACAAAGACTAATATAGTAAAAAGAATATTTCCACATTTACTTAGGACTGTTTTTTCAAGTAACTTCGCTACCAATGAAATTAGTAAATATTAATAGAACAAATTTATACAGTGTGCAATTGTAACTAGTTGAAGGGAATAATTGGTATGTTTCTATATAAATCTGTCAACTAGTGTCAGATATTCGGAGGCTTGTCATTAAAACCCTTAGAAAAACTACACCACTGTGGTTCCACAAAAATGAATGTGCGCATTTTCCGTCATATTTTTAATAAAAAAGGAATTACCCTTTTCATTTTTGACAGATAACACACCGTGTATATAAACACACAAAATTATTAGAAAAAAAAACTTGAAACGACAGTGACAAAAGGAAATGAATACTGTTTTTCACGTAACTAATATTTGTCGTCTACTAAATTTGAAAAAACAATGGAATTTTTACATCCTTTAAATAGTATACCTAATGTCGATCACTCCAAATCCAGCCGTAATCCCGTTCTGGACGATGGTGTCCGTCCGTCCGTCACAATACTCGTAATTTACGCAAAGCCGCTTGCCCAGCGTCTTGCCCTCCCCACATTTTTCTATATAGCTCACGGACGACTCCGTAGATGACGTCGGCACCGTCTCATAGCCCGGCAAGCATATCCCTGTGGTACACTTGGGAGGCGGCGTCGCTTTCGAGAACAAATCCGGCAGCTGGTTGATCACGTCGTCGTTCAGGGTCTGACATCGGGAATACCCCGCGAGGAGAACCAAAATCAGAGCTAACTTCATGCCGGATTATGTGATCGCATAGGTGTGACAACCTTGACTTTATCTCGAGTGGTTTTGTTGCGATAGCGTCGTGAAAGCCGCTGAACCAAACTGAAGATCAAGATGCGAGATCGACAACGCTGGGTACTACTATCAGCCCCCACTCTGCCACCTTTTAAAAAAATTACTGTGGTCGTGCCACCGCTGGAAATACCAGACCCAGGCCAGTTGTTTGAATCTTACGATCAACATTTACGATGATATCATCGGCAGAAAGGAAAAAAAAACATTTTACCTGCAAGGTTTCGTTAAGAATTCTTCTTAAATTTCGTCCGTAGTCGGGTAGAAATAAAAAATCACAGAGCAGCTGTTAGTGGATAGGAGTGTAATATAAACATTGACCTTGCAACATTCGGTATGAAAATATAACCAGAAAGCAAGTTGGAAAATGTGATTATCGTAAAATTTCATAAATCGAGTATAAGTTACCTACTATGTATGTAATTCCCCAGTAATTCTACCAAATCAACGACCCGTAGACTCTGTAGTCTGTAATAAAGTAATAAGTACCAGTTGCGACGTAATAAATAATAAATACACTCGTATGAAATGAAATGTCAAAGATCACCTTGCATTTCATTAAGTAAAATACTAAAAATTGAATTTTAATATATATAAGGTACAAGGGTACACTTTTATAATATGCGTCTATAAGAGAGAGGAGGAATAATACTTTTTTCGACACCTTAAGATTCCTCAAGATATTTTATTTAACACAACCAGTTGCAACTGACTGACTATTACTATACTGACTATACTGACTATACTATACGGACTATACTGACCCCTGACTGTTAGAAAAACAGGCAGTTATATTTAATTTTAATAAAAATTGTTTAGGTATGGGCGGCTTCAGTAAAATATATGATCTAGACGTTTAATACGTCATAACACGATTCTTAATTGTTTTATCAATATTTACGAACATTTTCGACTTTTGATCACCAAATTCTTGCTGGTAATTACTTGTTTGTTTAATTTGTTTGGGTATATTCAAAACGATAAGATATTTACCTAATATCGATCAGACCATAATTCTGTGTCCCACTGGGCGCAATGACGTTCGTTTTGGCGTCGCACTTTTCGTATATAACACAAAGACGTTTCCCAAGGTCTTTACCCTCTCCACATTTTGGCACATAACCTATATCTCCACCAGTAGCTGTGGTAGTAATTTCTACTAAGCCTGGTAGATATATTCCCGACCTGGAAGTAGTACCAGTAGTGGGCTTCGTGAAAATATCATCCAGCTCTCCTGCCACGGAGGGATCTAGTTTTTGACACCACACACACTCTGCTAACAGAGCAATTATTGCTAATAAGGCCTTCATGAGAGTGGAAAAAAGTACCAACACTATCTAACAGCTTGCAAATTACACTGATGCGTTTTGGAAGAATCTGCAGCGATTACAATAAATTTCCAATTTGTTAACTTGTTATTTTACCTCCTACTCTTATACTAGAAATACTAGTTCTAGAATTAGCTTGAATCTGATGTGATGGGTATAAAAAACGTAAATTCGGCGGAAACTTTTAATTTTACTTATATTTACACAAAACTAATACATAAACAATAAACAACAATAAAATGCAGGAAAATTTTATGTTAATATTGATATCGAGAAATGTCAAGGTTTTTAGCTTTGAATTGTCGTAGGTCCAGCCCCTAAAAAAGGGACGTTCACATAGACTCCTGGTGTTTCAGTCTCTCTAAATCGGACTAGTGTAAATGGGGATGATAGGTAGATGATAGTCACCTGGTACTTGCTCTTTTTTTTGAATACGTTTTTTTCCTAGTCGCTGGTATGGTATTTTCCAGACTCCATGACAGCGCCGTTAAGGAAAGGTAGAAGCACCAAGTGCACGTTTTCGGCAAGGCAACTTTGTTGTATATTACCCCTGAGTAGTATTGAGAATGGATGGTGATGGACTGCACCTCTCTGTCCTGGTGAGGAGACAGTTTCTGGGCGTATTTTGTGCTCCATTCTCCAGCTCTGATCTTAGTTCTCACCACTCACACAATGTCCGACGGTTAGGATGGATGGATCAAAGTTCCTCCACAATGGTAGGTATACGTTGAGTTTGACGGGGTTGTCCCAGATAGGTTCTTCTCTGAGGATGGGTACCATCCATGGCAACTTTCCAGACTCCACGACGACGTGTTTTCTATGTCTATGTTTTCAACAGGAAATTTCAAGAAGAGCGCCGTACTGAGGATGGATGGAAATAGACTGGACCTCCCTACCCTTATGGGGAAGCAATTCCTGGGCGTGTTGGGTGTCTCACAATCAGCTATGATCGTAAACGATTTTTCTTACCGCTCACACAGCATGCGCCGTTAGAAGGACCTGTGAGTAGATCAAAAGTCCTTCGCACTAGTATACGTTGAGTTTCACGGAGTGACTCTGGATAGATTCCTCTCTGAAGATGACCTGCAGTTCAAGGCTACTACCCAAATTGATTTTGTTCTTTTTATCGCCTGTAATTCGCAATCCTATGCTGGCTGGGTTAGTATAATCTCTGAGGTTTGTCGGAAATGTGGTTTTCCTTGATGCTTTTAACTATGGAAGTAATTTCTTTCATTTTTATGATTCACTGAACGCAATAATGTTTGTTTTTGCGTCGTATTTTTCGCATATAACACAATGACGTTTCCCATGACCTTCACTCTCGACCCATTTCGGCATATAACCCTCAATTTCTTTCAGTAGTAGTGGTAGAACTTTCTACGGAGGTTCTACAATTGACGGATCTAGTTTTTGACACTATACATACAAACTCTGTGTACAGAGAGATTACTAACAAGACTTTAACGGGGACGAAAAGAGATGCTGACAACATGCAACAATTTGCGCTGATTAGTTTTGAAAATATTACAGTGGTTAATGATTTTTCAATAAATTTTGTTTACTTGTTATTTGTACCTTCTTTGTGCCAGGAATACTAATTCCAGAAATTAAATTAATTGAAACTGGTAGGATGGGTATTATTAGAAATGCGAGATTCTGTGAAAACTTTATTTTTATATTGTTTTTACAAAATTAATACATAAACACTTATAATAATAAAAAGACGCAGGAATTTTTTTAATATTGATAACCGGAAATCTCAAGGCTCTTATCTTTAAGTTGTTCGTCAATCCAGTCTCTAAACATGGGAACGTTCACATATACTCCTGGAGTTTCATTCTCACCACATCCTATGCCCCATGCAACAATTCCCGCCTGATAGAACCTATTAGTGCTTCCTTCGATGGGGCACACCAAGGGGCTTCCTCCATCTCCTTTACAAGTGTCCTTTTCCGGTTCTCCACCTGCACACACAAAGCTTTTGTGAAGTTGGAAATGGGCTCCCAGGCGAGTGTTTCTAAGCTTGGTTTGACATGTGTCCCTGGGGACGATAGGCAGATCGATTTTTTTCAGGATCACCTGGTACTTGCCCTTCTTTCCGAATACGTCTTTACCCCAGCCGGTGGCGTAGCATCTTCCAGACTCCACGACGAGGTTAGAGGGAGGTAGACAAACAACGTCCACGTTTTCGACAATGTCTACTGGAGATTTCAAGAAGAGCAAAGCGACGTCGTTGTACAACGCTCCTGCGTAGTACTGAGGATGGATGGAGATAGACTGGACCTCTCTATCCTGATGGGGAAACAGTTCCTGGGCGTGTTGGGTGTCCCATTCCCCAGCTCTGATCTTGAACGACTTATTTTTACCGCTCACGCAGTGTGCGCCGGTTAGGACGACCTGGGGGTGGATCAAAGCTCCTCCGCATTGGTACACGTTCAGTTTCATGGGGTTTCCTTCGACGGATTCCTCCCTGAGAATGGCTACCATCCAGGGGAACTCTCCGAATTGAGCCTCGTTCTCCTTGTCGCCTGTAATTCGGAATCCTACGCCGTCTGGGTTACGATACCCACAACCCTTAGGTTTCTCTCCGCCCCTGGGGGGGCTGGGGGTTATTGGCTCGGTGACTTGGTCTTTCTCGTTACAGCAGACTTCTAGGTAGCTTTGGCATGGGCCATCCTGGATTCTGCGGAAGAATAAAAAAAAATAACATAAGCGTTCTGATAATACTTAGGTATTTTGCAGTAAAAATAAATACTGACTAAAAAAGCTTCTATCTAATAATGGGATTATATACAGTATGATGATAAACTTTCAAGTTGCAATCTTCATCAAAAGATCCGTAAAAAAGCGTTTTAGGAACAAATCAAGCTGTTGTTTTTATTCGTTTTGTTGAGAGAAATCAGCCCTGAAAGTTTTTCGCCACCCCGTACATAATAGTACATATATTAAATTATTTCGATCATTATATTTTAATCATGTTGGAAAATTTAATTTCGGGGGCGCCTATTATATTGTTTGTTATTGCATGGCATAATTGGCTGCAATACTTCTGGCCGAAATGAAGAGAAATCGGTTGGACGCTGAAGTCAAGGTCTGGCCGTGGGTCGTGTCGAGATGCTGTTGCAATTTTCGAAATAAAATATTTACAGGCTAATTAAGATTTTACAGATAGCGTAAATCTAGTTACGGATGCACCGCTTCAACTACCACCACTTACGTTTCTGTTGTTTCAAGGTTGCTTATAATACAATCGTTAATAGTTAAATGAGAAGCTTGTGACAAAAAGGATGGTTAGCGATATTATGTGCTGCGGTCGATGGTTTTGTCACAGGATGTGTTGTAATTCACACAACATTTAAATTATGTTCTTTTTAATGACAGAATTTGGAAAAATAAATACCCAACACAATAATTAAATTTTCTTAAAAAAAAATGTTTTGTGAGCATGCAAAAACTCTGCAGTTGTTTGTTCTGAGACTTCTGGAATCATTCAAAATAATAGAGACATGAGACATAAGAATTCAATCAAGTCCATATCGATTTTACTTTATATACAGGGCGTCCAGAAAATACTTTACAAAAATTGGGGGTTTCTATTTAAGAATTTTGAGTTTTCCACATTTTTTGAACTTTATATTCAATCATTTTTTTTGGCCACCTTATATAAAAACTGGAAAATTTTCATGTCAAATCCGATAAATTAGACCTTCCTCTACAAAATGCCCAATTCGCAAAAAAAAAATAAACCCGTGTTTCCGGGAAAACTAAAATTTACTGACAATCTGCATATATCAATTTTTGTCTAAAAATCAAAATATATCGGAAACGGTCAATGCTAAGTAAGGAGTGTGCTATATGTTTTCAATTTAAAATAAATGCTCTTTTCAAAAATGCAATAATATACAGGGGGTTCCATTTAAAATAAGAATGTTGGGACCAACTTCCCGTATAACCGGAAGAACGATGACCTTGAAAATATTTTAACTCGGGTTAACGAAATTTTGCTAAAAACTCCTTCAAATAAATTGTTCCAGTCTTAATCGTTAATTTGTCATATCTAATAACCCGAGCTTAGGCCGAAGAAAAAAATATATAGACTTGTGATGTTATTTTTGTAAGACCTACCCACATAAGAGAGATTGTCCACCATTTCCTAGAATACCCTGTTACTGTACAAAAAAAACAAGGTTGATAACACAGCCACAAACACAAAAAAAAGTTGGGTATACTTTATATGCGACATATATTTTTCGTACTAATTTCGCTTCCTGAACACGAATTTGGGGTCAGATTTGGCCCATCACGTCACAATTTTTTCCTAACCTCAAAAAACTTGTGAAAAATAGTGAAAACTGATGAAAATTTACTGGGAAAATTTGGAAAAAAATTTATTTTCACATCAAATAGTAAATTTTTTGTAAAAGACTCTGCTGAATTCAAATCCACTGTCAGAATTGAGCTAGAACGTGTGTTTTTTTTTCTAACCTCAAAAAACCGAGCAGGAATCGCTATTTTCAAATTCTGAGCGGATTTTGACCAGATTTTGTATAAAGGGGTTTTTTGGGTCGCTGATTACGAATATGAATTCACATTGTAAAAATTCAAGATGGCTGATCCAATATGGCGGGTGTACTTTTTTGAAATCCACCGATTTCAGTAAAATTTGGCATCATAAGGATTGCTGGTTGATCTCACCTTCATTAATCACACATCTGGAGCCAGATTTTCATAAATCAAGGTAAAAGATTCCACTCCGTCTAAAAATGTGACTTCGCTTAAAAAAATGACTTAAGGACTCTACACATGTAATGATGTGTAGTGTGATGTGCTTGTTTCCATGGGACAAGACAAAAAAGTTTCTACTTTATTCTTTCATTTATTTAGTCGTGCATGGGCTTATGGTTTTCCAATCAGATTTTTTTAACTACTATGCAGTTTTCCTATGGCATTTAGATGCTTTTATTTCTTAATAATTTTAAAGTTCAAGGAAAAGGACACATTACTGCCACACAGCACATCACTGCATCTGCTTATGCCTTCAATCTAAAAATGTGACTTTGCCGAAAAAATGCCGCCTACTCGGCCTAAAATTATGACTCTGCCTACAAATTTTACCTTGATTTATGAAAATCTGGCTCCAGATGTGTGATTAATGAAGGTGAGATCAACCAGCAATCCTTATGATGCCAAATTTTACTGAAATCGGTGGATTTCAAAAAAGTACACCCGCCATATTGGATCAGCCATCTTGAATTTTTACAATGTGAATTCATATTCGTAATCAGCGACCCAAAAAACCCCTTTATACAAAATCTGGTCAAAATCCGCTCAGAATTTGAAAATAGCGATTCCTGCTCGGTTTTTTGAGGTTAGAAAAAAAACCACACGTTCTAGCTCAATTCTGACAGTGGATTTGAATTCAGCAGAGTCTTTTACATAAAAATGTACTATTTGATGTGGAAATAAATTTTTTTCCAAATTTTCCCAGTAAATTTTCATCAATTTTCACTATTTTTCACAAGTTTTTTGAGGTTAGGAAAAAATTGTGACGTGATGGGCCAATTCTGACCCCAGATTCGTGTTCAGGAGGCCAAATTACTACGAAAAATATATGTCGCATAAAAAGTATACCCAACTTTTTTTTTGTGTGTGGCTGTGTAATTATTTATTAAAAATTTGGCTATTCTGCTAGATCCAATTGATACGGATGTGGAAAATGTGAAATCCCATCGTAAATCCATTTGATATTTCAACAAATTCTCTTATCAAAGGTCAAGTAATGAGAAAGTTAAGAAATAAACAGTTTACATTCCACAGAAACCCGAGAATTGGTTAACTATGTAAATAAATATATTTGTGAAATAACCGTTTTTTTCCTTTAAATATAAATTCGATATGTACCTTCAAATTCGAGATTAATGACCGTTAGCGTTCAATTTTTACCTGATATCGATGATGCCCTCGCCATTCGTGTTAATGGTGCCATTATTGCAAAGATAGTATGGCACACAAGTGCAGTTCTCTGCTCCGGATACGCCTTCTACCGGCTGCAGACTGGGAGCTGAAGACCCAGAACCACCTCCCGGAGCATTGGTGGTATCCGGATTTTTGAAAACTTCACCGATTAGGGTGTCCAGATCTTTACCCAATTGGGCATCGATGCTAATCGCAAGAAGAAGAAATGCAGCTATCCGGGTAATCATGTTTGTCCTGAAACAAATGAACATGTTGAGATAGACAGAAGCTCACTCTGTGCACTAAATTTAGTTGGGAACAATGGGCTCAAAGCTGACTTACAGCGCACAGGATTTGCTACAGAATTTGTCAATTTGAAGCATTTTTTATAGAGCAAAAGCAAAACATTATTTATTTAATATGAAGCAAAAAAAAATGCTTTTGTTGCTAACTTTGGCTTTTACACCTTACTTTAAACTCTTGATTCATGAGGACCAATAAAAGAAGAAACAAAAGCGCAGTAACATGAACTGAAAAAAGAAAATCATAGTAATAAATAAGTAATCTTAATCTGATATTTTTATGTCAGATGCTAGAGTTCATCTTCGTTAATGATGTGAACTTGCAAATAAATAAGCGTTGTTTGGTTAATTTATTATTATTATCCAAAGATATCTTTATCTCTTGAAACAACTATTTATTTATTGAAGATACGTTAATAATAATTTCAAATATATTAAACAAGTTCTTGAATTATTTAAAATAATACTTGTTATTTAAATTTTTTTTAGTATTGTCATACAAATAGCTGTTGTTATCCTTCCATATTATGTAACATGACCTTAATTATCCTTCTCAGTAATCCTTGTCAAATAATTTGCATCAAAATCTATTATTTTTACACATCACGTTGCTTTCTTGTACAGTAAAACCACAAAAAACTAGTGAGAGGGATAAAAGTGACCACACTGATTAATTTAATAAAAAATTTTGCACGTATTAACTTCTCTCTTGATATTTCAATTTCTTGGCAAATTATATCTTTTTTATTTTGCAACAATTCAATCTTGTTAATTTCTTTTGAATGGTTTTGTTGAAAATCATGTTAGCCGTAGGATTAGAAGTTTATTTTCAAAATTATTATCACAGAGTTTCGAGCCTGCGTTAAATCTTACTCACCCTGTATAAGTACTTACAGCAGATCAAGTGCCTGCCACAAATATTACCAAACTGTTTTTATATGAATTGTATTTCACTCAAAAGTAAATCGTCAACCTTACGATTATTTTTCAAATAAAGCGCGCCTTGTACATACACATCGATAATTTACCCGATTGGACTTTCCATTTTCTAACAAAAGCAATGCGATTACTAATCAAAGAGAATTCCGACATGCCCTTGACAAATTTGGATTGGGAGAAGTTTTTTCAGTATTTTTAATAGCAGTTTTACACACTCAAAGAAATTGACAAATTATTATTGAACTGTTAATACACAAAATTCAAAATTGTCGTCAACTTATTGAGAAAAGAAATTGTGACAATAATAGGACTGGACAGTCTATCAAATGCATGCATCTCAATTAGGAATTAACTAAATCTAGTTTGGTTGCTAAGGTAGGTTAGGTAGGGGACAATTAATTGGTTGTTGCTAAGGGATTTAGTTAAATATAGTTTAATATTTTTTTGACAAGATTCTTAAAGATATAATTAATGCAACAGAGTTCGTGATAAAAATCATTAAACATGACTTAAATTGGTCTTGATTCTCTTGCAATTATTTATTTACTAAATTAAAGTTTTCTTTTAGCTATAACCAAGGTCTTACCTTTGACGATATACAAAAAAAATCGATGCGGTAATTGTAAATATTATTCCAAATGATTTAAATAAAAATATTTACATCCAGATACTAATATTCAAGATTGGTACTATTGGTAACACTAGCAGTATCTTCAATAAATTCATCAACTTCAATTTATAATTACTTGATTGGTAAAACCGCTCTAATGTAGGTAGGTAGGTGTTGTTGAGGCAGAAGAAAGATGATTGCTTTGTAATCATCGCAGATATCAGTATGCAAAAAGCTTAGTAGGATCATAATCACAGGCCGTAAATATACAACCGGTTTTGAAGAGCTCCATGGTAATATCTATACTGGTTATCATGGTCTAGGTTCCCAGACAAATTTAGTACGTTAGTGAAAACCACGCCCATGCCATTAAGAAGGAATATTTCTACATAAATACTTTCCATGTACGTATTAGTAGAAAATTTAAGACATCCTACAGTAGAGTGTACTTAAAATCATTCTATTTATTTACAGATTGAAGTAATTTAGATGTCAAAATGGCGCCACTTTTGGTTGTTCAAAACAACCAGATAATATTAGGCACGTACTTGTTGTTATTTTTTTCCTTAGTATGTGGTTTTGACAACGCATTTAGAATTATTAAAATATTTTAAAAATGTTCATATGTACCTCAACTACTTAATAAAACAAAAGCCTATGGAAAAACTGTGGAAGCTTTTAAGAGGAATACAATCTCGCGCCATCTACCGCTCATCTATTCAAATGCAATAAGGGGGATTTTTTATTTTAGACGAAACAAGAAAATTAACAACTTGTATCAATTCGGGGAAATCCTTGTATTCTTGATGAATAATAGAATGGAATATCAAGGTATTTTATTATACTCGTATTATTTACATACAAAAATCGCGCAATGATTTTTTGTTGGCGCTTTAACAATCCTCTACTGCACTGCAAGATCTGTTTATTTGAATAACAACTTGGTTCTTAATACATTTTAGAGATAACTAACATATCTTTTTTATTTTTGATGAAATGAAACTGATGCGTGCTTCAGTTAAGGAAGGTGGGATATTTATTTTCATATTGGGAATGAGAATTACAACTTTTTTTATTTACAAGCCACTTTATTATGAGGCATACACATTTACTTATGATTTAATCGTTCAACAAAATTAAAAAGCTATCGGAGTCATGGAGAAAAACCCACAAAAAAAAATCACACTGGTAACTCACCTGTCTGTCTTGGAGATCCAGTCGGGTGAACAACGGTGCGGGTTCTTTTAACAGCACTGCGTCAGAAGGTCCCGGAGCACCTTGAAGCGGCTGGCTCGATGAAGATGACGTAGTAAATAAGAGCTATACGGTCAAATAATGGTGACATGCGCCGAGATCATTTTAGTACTGGTGACTGAGCTCGTACTACTTTATCACTAGGAGAACTTGTTGATCAGGCTGGTTACAGCAGACAATAATGGAGGTGATTGGTGGGGAAACCCCTTAAAAAAGTTTTGTACAGGGTGGAACAAGACTGCAAATGATTTTCTTTACTTGATAACCCCTCATTTTTCACATGTATTACATGTAAATAGTGCAGTGGATTATTTGATTTCTTTTTCATTACAATTTGCCCAATTTTTAAATATTAGTATAGGGTCGTTATGCGAAAATTGTCCCCCTCTTTTTGTGTCGTATTATTCGAGATATGAAAAATTGTTTTAAAAATTTTTAATACATACATACCACAAAAACAATTGAATGTCGCATTTCCGAGATATAGGCCCAACTTATGTTTTTTTTTGGAACAGAACACTCCATAGATCTTTACACTGTCGAAAATATACTCAAAGCAGCTTTTCAGAAATGTAATATATGTGGTAGGTACTTATTTTCAAGGGTTTTCGAGATATTGCGTATATCTTTACGTGGCCTTGAAAGAATATTGATTATTAAAAAAATGATGATAATGACAATAATCTAAAGATATCTAGGGCATTCCATTTAAAAATATATAAGCTAGACCTATATCTTGAAAGTTCTCTCTCACCTGTCAATTTCAACTCTCACCTGTCAATTTTTTTACAATCCCTACAACTGTTATTCTTACAATTTTTTTGTATCGTACAATAACGGAAAAAAACGAGGATTAACTTTCGCGACAGGGTGGTGACCCTGTAGCAGCATATACAGGGTGGCCAAATGAAAACTAAACAGAGCCATTTTCAGGAACTGCGTCAAGATTGTAGAAAAACGCTCAACCCGTCGATTTTAGATTAAAGAGGGACATTCTTTGCTGATATTTTTGACTCCGCCACTTTCACCCCCAAGCAAGGGTAAGCATATCACCCCAAAATATTTAAATGGCATTGGGGGTTGAATAATATTTCTTTTGAAAGCTCTTACAATTCTCTTTACAACAGACTTTAAATTTTATAATTCCGCCCAGTTCCTGAAAATGGCTCTGTTTCATTTTCATTTGGCCACCCTGTATTTATCACTATAAAAATGTTATCACCCGGTAAGTTGGATGTGTGAAATGTATATTGTAAATTAGCTATAAATTTAGTGATAGGAAGGGAAAATTCAGTGTTGCGGAATGGGTTTTTAATTAGGCCAGAACTTGACTAATAAAAATCCTGACATAATCATGCACCAATCAATTTAAAAAATAATAATGGTATTAATAAACATTAATTTTGAATAAGCTTCGGTCAAAGAAAATTTAATTAAAAAATACCTACAATGAAGCAAAATATTTATTTAATTTTACTTTAAAAAACTTTTTTTCTTGCCTTAATTTCTTTTTATCTGGTAAAATCATATGTGTAATATATTTTTATTTCGCTGTGGCAATTTAATCCAGAACAAATTGTAAAACAGAAATATGTATAGGAGCAATTTTATATTTTGCATAATAGAAATAATCCAAAAAAGAAATTCAACAAGACCGTTGATTTGTTAAGACTATAGTAGTTATAAAATTTCAAAATTCAATTCAACAATAAGTAATTTTTTTATCATATAGGTATATACATAAAGGTAACATCGTAAAATAAAGGGACAAATTTTTTTCGAGTTTTTGTTTATTCTGCCGAAATCACGTGATTAATATGTATTTCATTTTTACTTCATACATTAATTAAGTAAAAGTTAGGAAGATAACTAAGTGATTTTACCTTTTGGAATAATAAAATCGAAAAAAAACTGTTGACATTGTCTTGAATATTTAACAAGAATATTTCTCAAACTATCAGTATACTTAGCTTAAAAACAAATATTAAAGCCTACTCATCATCAAATACAAATGTAACTTTATTCATATGAAAGAAAATATTTCCTTCTGTTAAATTCTGTTTAAAATAAAAATACATCTTTTCAAACGTAAGATATTCTCATAATTTGAAATTGGAAGTTTAAATTTAGTGTATTTTCTTTCTGTACTTTCTGAGATTGGTAGTACAAAATGGAAAGAGCGGCAAAATACTTTACTTCTATTGGTTATATATTTCAGCTGCTCTTTAATATCTGACTACGTTTATATGCCCATCTAAGACTGCACTGCACGTTCGAAAGTACGCTATCGGAATGCTATTTTGCATTCTTTAGGTGGATTCGATCATATTTAATCTTATATTAATAAGACCGGTAAACGAGAACCATCAGATCAGAAGGGCAGAATGACATGTTTGACGTTCATTTTATTCATGGCCTAGTAGTTCGTTACGATATAATCTAATTTCTGTACCAACGTGCTGTATATTAATTTTAGTCTATTTTACATATATGTGTTAAGTTCATTATGGCAAGGTAAGTAATCTATTTCAATAATTTAATAGTTTTCAAAATCTATTAAGTATTTGTTTAGACGATTTTTTAAAGGATTTATTTTATAGTTTAGTTTTTTTGTTTCGAACAGATTTTGTTAGTAAGATACATGATCACATAACTAATATTACGATTTAAAAAGTTCATACATCTGATGGTAAACGATGTAACAGAACCAGAATCATGAAATAATTTTCTTTCATTATATTGAACTAAAATTTTTATTTTCTTAAAGTGATATGGATAGTGTAGTAATCTCTGATGAAAGTTTGGATCTGAATAGTAGTAAAAATAAAAATATAGATACAAATCGAGAGGAAGTGGAGAATTTTGAACAGTCATTACTCAGTGCTTCTAATGGTTTAATTCTGAACACCACCGAAGATTTGGAATTAAGGCGAGAATTAGAAAGAGAGTACAAAAAACAGCTTCGTGTTGAAGCCAAGAAACTTGCCGAAGAGGAATCTCTGAAGCAGAGAAGAGAGAAAGCCCTTAAAGGAATGAAGTATCTTTTAGGTGTCAGTGAGAAATATTCGGAATTTTTTCAAGAGAAAGTGTTCAGTGAGGATGTAAAGTACGAGCGATTTCTATGGAATGTTTTCAGATTTATTGATTTGTATTTTTTTATAGAAAAAAACCGCTTCAGGAAAGAAATAAGTTCCAGCCCACTGTAGAAGACATGAAAGATGCCGTAAAGATGAAAAGTAAGAAGTCTGGAGGAAAAAGTATGTGAACTGTTCAGTATTGTTTATTTAATTCTAAGATCATGCATTTATTTCATTTCAGAATATGCGGATGTTAGTAAATTCTTAAAATTTTTTGAGGGTGGTTCTCTCAGGCCCTACCAAATTGACGGGGTGACTTGGATGACGGTAAATCATCTTTATTGATAAAAATCTAATAGTAGTAAATTCCTGTGTTTCAGGTTTTGTTTGAGAACGGTTTAAACGGGATATTGGCTGACGAGATGGGTTTGGGTAAAACCATCCAAGTTATTGCACTGATCTGCCACTTACTACAAAGGAAGACCCACGGGCCCTATCTCATAGTAGGGCCCTTGTCGACACTTCCCAACTGGCAGGCCGAATTTGAAAAATTCGCTCCGCAAGTGCCAGTCGTTCTTTTCCACGGTTCCCAGCAAGAACGACTGATGCAGTACAGAATGATCAAGAAGAGATATGAAATCGGGGGGTTTCTCACGCAACCCGTTATACTCACCAGTTACCAAATACCGTTGTTGGAGTATAACTTTTTAAGACAGTTTGACTGGCAGTACGTGATCATAGACGAGGGGCACAGACTGAAAAACCACGAATCCAAGTTGTCAAAGTAAGTTCATTTTTTTTTTCTTTTCGATTCAGGGGTCGTTTTGAATCGTAATAGTTTATTTGTGGCGTTTTTAATATACTTATTTGTTCTGCACCCACAATGCAAAAGATTTCTCCATGTTTATATTTTCAATATTTTTATTTTAATTCACAGAATTTTACGTTCCTTAAATTCCTCAAACAGACTACTGCTAACCGGTACGCCTTTACAAAACAACATCACAGAACTCTGGGCGTTATTAAACTTCCTCTTGCCACACGTCTTCAACAACATGGATACTTTTGCTTCCCTGCTGATGGTCGAAGACGTCCAGGTATTTCATCGTTTTCATGTCTGTCAATGTACGTTTAATAATTTTTATTCTAGGACGAGAACAAACTACTGGAACAAGAAGAAAAGACCAATCTGATATCGACTATTCACAGGGTATTGGGGCCTTTCATGTTACGCAGACTGAAAAAGGACGTGCTCACCGACATGGTACCTAAAAAGGAAGTCACGGTGTTCTGTCCGTTGTCTAAATTGCAGAGGGATTTGTACTCTTACGTTATATCCAAGAATCTCTCGAAACTGCTGCGGAAGGATGAGGAAGAGGTGAGTTCGCATTAATTTTGTAAAATTGTTTCTTTTTGAAGGTTTTCTTTTATTGTTAGACCTATCGGTTTGTGGTGTTGATGTAACGATACCAAATTTTAACTTAGTTCTATCCAAGTTCACTTTAATTTTAGTAAGTTGTATATTTAAAAAATTATTAAATGTTAAAAAATATTAAATGTTAAAATTTTATTATGTTGAGATTTTAACATCATTATTAGACCGATTGAAATAACTCATCAGAACAAAAAGAAAATTGTTACCTGGACTCTTGCAACTGAAAATGGTGGAGAGGTTTATAATAAATGAAAAAATATAAATGCGTGAGCAGGGGTGACGGAGGGTTGATTTGGGGGGGTGAAATTATATCATTGGGACTTCTGGCAAAAGTTGACGTCAAACAGAAGAGTATCCAATATAAAAGTTGTGGATCATGCAAAAATCTACAACTTTTGTAGAGATCACTTTTTATGACAACCTTAAAATTTCCGAGAAAAATGCGAAAAATGTTTTTTTTTCTTATTTTTCGTTTTTTATTTCTCATTACAGCAAAAATAATTTAATTTTGACGAAACTTGGTGAAAGTATACCTTTCTCTGTCTTAAATAACTACAAATTTTTATAGATAAAAAAATCAAGAAGTTTCCGGGATACTAATTTTTTCCAGTCTGAAACACTTTTTTTTCAAAGAAAAATTCTATTTAGAAAAATCATTGTACAGAGTTTTGCCGATGATAATTTTTTTCGTTTTAACATATACTCTTTGATAAAATAAAAAAATCTGTAATCACAGTTCAAAAACATGCTCAAAAATGCAAAAAAAAACAAGAAATGACTTGCAACAATGAATTGTTCAGTATCTAATTGGTAATAATTTGTTTAAATTAAAAAAAATCAAAAACTGATTACAATACAATAATTTAAAAAGTCTGTATCTCTTGCCATTTGCTAGATCCTAATGCTATCCCATTCTTATCTTGGACACACTGTATAAGCGATTTTTTAATTAAATTATTTAAAATTCCGATTTTCGCTTTCAAAATTATCTTCCCTATATAGCAAGCCTAAAGAAACCAAACTTGGTGAACATTATCTGTCAAAAAAACTACACTTTTTGAAATTGATTTGTGAAGTATTTTTGTAAGGAACCCCTTACATAAAGATTGATTATTTCAACCAAAGTAATCAACCCCTATGAGATTTTTTTCTTATAATTTTTTTCGATAAAACTCCTTTTAAAAAATTTTTCTAAAAAGCCCCATTCATGTACAAACTTTTTGATCACTTCAAGTTTTTTCGTAAAGTTAAGAATTTATGACAAAAAAAAATAAATATTGCAATGCATTTTTAAAAAAATGAGCTGTTTAACGCGAGTGTATTTTAAGAAATGATTAAATAATGTTGGAATATTTGAACCCCTTACAAAAATACTTCCGGGTTGAAAAACTTTGAAAAAGTGAAGTTTTTTTGACAGATAATGTTCACCAAGTTTGGTTTCTCTAGCTTGATATAAAAAAGTAAAACAACTTTTTTTTGAAATTTTTGGAGGGGCATAACTTTTCAGGGGAGTTTTTTCAAGAAATTTTATACCAAAGACCCCTATCAATTTTCATCAGAGAATCGTCCCTTACATTTTTTCGGGTTATTTAGATACACCCTGTATAACTCGACATGTACATACATACCTTGCAATCAATTTGTAAGCTGGTTTAATAGCATTAAATTAATTTTAAATTTATTGATAACTGTTTTCATAATTTTTTCTCGAGAACAATGCAACAATAATTTTTTAGTAAAAAGTAAGTATCCAAATTAAAAATGTTATATCTAAATATATTATTAATACAATCACACCTGACAAAGATCAACACGAAAAGTAGCAATGATAGAAAGATCGTACTATTTCTGCATTTTTCCTATGATTGTTAAATTGCTTAAATGCGTTTTTCTCGGAAGTGGAGCGCTTTATCCAAAGAAATAAAGAGTACCTTTTTTATAAAGGAAATGAAAATCTATCATATGTTGGTATCTGAATTTGAAAATTTCAACAAGTAAAAAAATAGGGGCAAATTTTAGCCGACGACCCCCTCAATTGGCCACTCCTGACTAAAATTTTTGAAAAATTTTATGATGAGCTATTTCGACTTTTAATGTGGGTGGCAAAGGGTGCCGAGGGTTGACGAGGGGGTCTTATTCATTTTTGGTAGTCTTCTTCATTCTTAGTGGCCCAGAAAACATAGGAATACTCACCCTACTCGACTTTGTATGATAATTGACATTTCAACTCCCAGAAGGGGGTGCATGGGGGCGTTAACGGCGACACCAAAAACGGAGGGGAGGGGGGGTCTACCCTCTGGGTCTTGAGATTTTTTTTGTATGCCTGTGTATTGGACACTAATTATGAGACACCCTGTATAATAAACTATCAGTCGTATGCTTCTGCCCTACTTTAACAGTAGATTACACATGACTACTCAATATAAGAATGTATTGTGGGTTGCCCAATGTTGCATTTATCCTCTTTGTGACCGCAGATTAGCTACGTTGTGGATGCTCCCAGAAAGAAACGAAAATGCGTTGTAAACAGAACCAGCTATTGCGAAATAATAGATGAAGACGACGATTCGGACTTTGAGGGCCAACTGATTACCGAAGAGGAGACTAGAATCGGCCAGAAGATAGAAAAGAAGGCCCTGCCTTACATCACCAGGTTGACTATGACCAACCCCATGATGATGTTCAAGAAAATCGTAGATCACCCTTTCCTTATCCACTTTCCGTTAGATCCCAACAGTGAAGAGAAAGCGCTTTTGGTTGACGAGAATATAGTGGAGGCCAGCGGTAAAATGATGGTTCTCGACACCATGTTACCCATACTGAAGAAAAAAGGACACAAGGTATGAAGAGTAGTATATCGGTACTGGAATTATTAACGGTGTTATTTGCAGGTCCTGATATTCAGCACCTTGGTTATGTCATTGGATTTCATCGAAGAATTGATGATTCTCCGTGGCCACTCCTACAGAAGGTTGGATGGTAGTCAGAGGTTAGAGAATAGGGGAAAAATTATCAGTGAGTTTAATAGTGACCCGGACATATTCGCCTTCCTAATCTCCACCCGAGCCGGCGGCCTTGGTCTGAACCTCACCGGAGCTGATACTGTGATATTCTTCGACAGCGACTGGGTAATGTTAAATATTCCAAATTTCATGTCTATGAAAGCTTAGGATCAAATTTTTATGTACCAAATTTCAAATTTGTAGTTTGAACTCGAAATTTGGGGTATAGTTCTGAAATTATATACTTAAACTTTGTGTTTTGCATTCAAACTCAAAATTTTGTGAGTTTAGAACTCAAAATTTTGTGTTCGATATCAAAATTTGTGTTCCAACTCGAAATTTTGAGTTAGAACTTAAAGTTTTGTGTTCCAACTCGAAATTTTGTATGTGAATACAAGATTTTCAGTTTGGTCTCAAAATTCAAACTCTAAATTTTACTTTGCATCTCAAAATTTTGTGTTCAAGCACAAAATTTTGAGTTTAATGATGATATTTTCAGTTGGAACTCGAAATTTGGTGTATAGTTCTGAAATGATATAGGTACTTAAACTTTGTGTTTTGCATTCAAACTCAAAATCTTGTGTTCAAACACAAAATTTCGAGTTTAAAGAGGAAAGTGGAAAAAATTGTAAATGACTCGAAATTTAATGCTCAAGCTCAAAATTTTGCTTTCAAACTCAAACTTTTGTGATCAGACACGAAATTTTGAGTTTAGAGCTCAAAGTTTTGTGTTCCAACTCGAAATTTTGTATGTAAATACAAGATTTTCAGTTTAATCTCAAAATTCAAACTCTAAATTTTACTTTGCATCACAAAATTTTGTGTTCAAGCACAAAATTTTGAGTTTAAAGATGATATGTTGAGTTTGAACTCGAAATTTGGGGAGTAGTTCTGAAATTATATATTTGAACTTTGTGTTTTGCATTCAAACTTAAAATCTTGTGTTCAAACACAAAATTTTTAGTTTAAAGAGGAAAGTGGAAGAAAAATTGTAAATAACTCGAAATTTAATGCTCAAGCTCAAAATTTTGCTTTCAAATTCAAACTTTTGTGATCAGACACGAAATTTTGAGTTTAGAATTCAAAATTTTGTGTTTGATATCAAAATTTGCTAAACAAAAACGTTCATATTCGGAATATTGCATGTGAACTTAGAATTTGTGTTTGAACACGAAATTGAGTTAGAACTTGAATTTTTGTGTTTCAACTCGAAATTTTTTATGTTAATACAAAATTTTCAGTTTGATCTCAAAATTCAAACGCTAAATTTTACTTTGCAATTCGAAATTTTGTGTTCAAGCACAAAATTTTGAGTTTCAAGATGATATTTTGAGTTTGAACTCGAAATTTGGGGTATAGTTCTGAAATTATATACTTACACTTTGTATTTTGCATTCAAACTCAAAATCTTGTGTTCAAACACAAAATTTTGAGTTTAAAGAGTAAAGTAGAAGAAAAAAATTGTAAATAACTCGAAATTTGATGCTCAAGCTCAAAATTTTGCTTTCTAACTCGAACTTTTGTGATCAGACACGAAATTTTGAGTTTAGAACTCAAAATTTTGTGTTTGATATCAAAATTTGCTAAACAAAAACATTCATATTCGGAATATTGCATTTAAACTCAAAATTTTTGTTCCAACTCAAAATTTTGTACATATATACAATATTTTCAGTTTGATCTCAAAATTCAAACTAAATTCTCTAAAGCACAAAATTTTGAGTTTAAAGATGATATTTTGAGTTTGAACTCGAAATTTGGATTGTAGGTCTGAAATTATTTACTTAAACTTTACGTTTTGCATTTAAACTCAAAATTTTGCGTGCAAACACAAAATTTTGAGTTTAAAGAGAAAAGTGGAAAAAAAATTGAAAATAACTCGAAATTTGTTGCTCAAACTCAACATTTTGCTTTCAAACTAAAAATTTTGTGATCAGATACGAAATTTTTAGTTTAGAACTCAAAATTTTGTGTTTAATCTTAAAATTTGATGAACAAATACATTCATATTCGAAATATTGCATTTAAACTCAGAATTTTTGTATGTGAATACAAAATTTTTAGTTTGCTCTCAAAATTCAAACTTTAAATTTTACTTTGCATCTCGAAATTTCGTGTTCAAGCACAAAATTTTGAGTTTAAAAATGATATTTTGAGTTTGAAATCAAAATTTCGGGTTTAGTTCCAAAATTTTATACTTACACTCTGTGTTTTGCATTCAAACTCAAAATCTTGTGTTCAAACACAGAATTTCGAGTTTAAAGAGGAAAGTAAAAAAAAATTGAAAATAACTCAAAATTTGATGCTCAAACCCAAAATTTTAGTTTCAGAATCAAAATCTTGTGATTAGACACGAAATTTTTGAGTTTAGAACTCAAAATTTTGTGCTCGCACTTGACAGTTTGATTTAAAAAAATTGAAATCTATTCAATATTTTTTACGCCTAAACTCTAAATTTTGCATTCAAACTTGAAACATTCTATTCTAACACAAAATCTCAAATTTAAACAAAATTTCAAGTTTAATTTGAAATTGAAAACTCAGTAAACAAAAAAAGAAAAAGTAACAAAGAAAATAAAATTTTATGTTCAAATTTTCAATTTTGTATTCAAAATTGAAATCTTGTGTTTAAACAGTTTTAGGTTAGTCTAGACTCATTTTGTGATCAAAATTTCCAGTTTGATCTCCAGATTTATTTATATTCTCAATTCTGCATTTAAACTTGTAATTTTTTGTTGAAACACAAAATTTTGAGTTTAAACTCGAAAGTTCTGTGTTACAACTCAAAATTTTGTATTTAAACTTGAAATTTCGGTTTGATATCGAAACTAGGTACACAAAAAAATATGTGTTTAAATTTTATTTTGAACCTTGAAATCAAACAAAATTTTGAGTTTAGAGACAATATTTTGAGTTTGAATTTGAAATTTCAAGTTTAGTCCCAATGTTTGTTAAAAAACTGTAATTAATTTGAAATTTTGTACATTTTCTTTTATATTCACCTCGAAATCAGATATTTTTAGTTTGTATTAGAATTTTTGCTTTTCAATTCTTCAATTAAATTTTCTTGTTTGAAATTCATAATTTCTAGTTTGATCTAAAAATTTGTCATCCCAAAAAAAAAACTCGAAGTTTTGAGGTCACTCGCAATTTTGTTTTGAAACTCAAAATATTGCCTTCAAACACAGAACTTCGAGTTTAGAGACAAAATTTTGAATTTTAATGTTGAAATTTTTGGATTAATCTTAAAATTTGGTAAAAAAAAAATTGAAACTACATCTACATTTTCCTACATTTTTTCAAGGTATTATTCCCCTCTCTTTCTAGAATCCTCAGGCAGACATACAAGCACAGGACAGGTGCCACAGAATAGGACAAACGAGGCCCGTCATGGTATACACCCTGGTCACCAAAAACACCATAGACGAGAAGATCATCACTCGCGGCCAACAAAAACGAATGCTGGAAAAAATAGTTATAAAAGACGGTGAGTAGTAATACGCCGTCTCCTCTGCCGCACAAAACATACAATACCTTCGTTTTCAGGTAAGTTCAAGATCAACCAGCAAGATCGAGTGATAGTAGAAAACGAACTTAAGGACCTGCAGAAGCTCTTGGAGCAGGAGAATAACAATTCCAGCAACGGGTACGTCTTCTCGAAAGAGGAGCTGAATAAACTGCTGGACAGATCGGATTTGTACGAAATCATGAGGAAGAAGAACGGCGTGAAGTAAATCCATTTCGTGCGAAAAGTTTTTTGACTGCCTTACTGGGTACATTATGGAGTAAGATTTAAAACTTTTTTCTTGTGTTCTTTCTAGTTGATTTACAGTTTGGACCAAAAACGATATTTATTAATTTTTTAGAACCTAGACCGTTGTACCTCCACGCCTTTTATCAATTTTATCGTTATTATTTTATTTAGTTATTTAACATGTTTTTTGTCATTATTTGTACTCACAATTTTTTAAGGTTAAGGTAGAAAATATTCTAAATTTCCTAAAAAAAAAAATCAGCTGCTTAAAAACCAAAGTACCTAATTTTTAATGAATTTAGAATACGCACAACTTTCCATTTTGTTTGTGATAATTGTGATATGATAATGTTCGTTTTTGTTTTTTTTTAATCTTAGGTTTTTGTAGAATTTATAATTTCTTTGAAACATATCCATAGTAGGTTAATATTTATTGTTACATGTTGGGTGGCGCGACTGGGCGAGATAACGTCTTCGGCGAAATATTTAGTGGTTAAATTTCAATTTTCGAGGGTTTCCTTCCTCCTAAAAAATATTCGTGTCGTTCGTGGTAGAGGATCGCTGGTTGTTGTCTCGTCTCGTGCTACGTTTTTAACTTATTTTTCACTGTCACGCCCAGAGTGACGTTAATTATATCTAAATGTAGTATTATAAGTGCCATACGTGATAAGATACAAAAACGCTTATGGAACTGTCTTTGTATTAGAGTAGTTGTAGTGTTTATATTTTTGATACATTTAATAAAGTTTTTTGTACTTTTTCGTAACAGTTTTTTTTTCTGTAACAAACCATCCATAACCTTGCCGCTTGTTAAAAATAGTTATATGGGGTGTTTCTTCTGAATAGATTGATCAAATTTAGAATTTTAAATCAAATGATTAGACTAGAAAAAAAAAGTTCTATGAAGATTCGTTTGTTTATGTTTTTGATGCATTTAATAAGGATTTTTGTATTTTTTCGTAACAGTTTTCTTTTTGTAACAAACTGTACATAGCCCAAATGTTTGTTAAAAATAGTTATACAGGGTATTTCTGTATAAATGGATCAAATTTAGAATTTTAGAATGATTAGACTAGAAAAAAAAAGTTCTATGAAGATTAGTTTATGTTTTTGATATGTTTAATAAGGATTTTTGTACTTTTTCGTAACAGTTTTTTTTTTTTTGTAACAAACCATACATAGACNAACTGTTTGTTAAAAATAGTTATACAGGGTATTTCTGTATAAATGGATCAAATTTAGAATTTTAGAATGATTAGACTAGAAAAAAAAAGTTCTATTGTAGGTGCCTCCACTTAATCATTGACCCAGTAATGCACTCTAATAATTCTGCTTAAAAAAACTTTATTTTCACTATCTATATAAATACACATAGATCAGTCCTTTATCTTAACAACCTTATCCCCCATTCCAACCTTCTTCTCCTTCCTCTTCACAATACTACCAACCTAGTTTCTTACTAGTTCCTTAAAAATGGCGCGCTATTCAAAATACAATAATATAACACTACACTATGAAGATTAGTTTATGTTTTTGATATGTTTAATAAGGATTTTTGTACTTTTTCGTAACAGTTTTTTTTTTTTTGTAACAAACCATACATAGACCAACTCTTTTTTAAAAATAGTGATACGGGGTGTTTCTGGATAGATGGATCAAATTTAGAATTTTATTTTGAATGATTAGACTAGAAAAAAAAGAGTTCTATGATCATTCGGTGTGTTTGTTTATATTTTTCATACATTTAATAAGGATTTTTCAACTTTTTCGTAACAGTTTTTTTTGCTGTAACAAACTTTCCATAGCCGTTCTACTTATTCAAAACAGTTATACGGGGTGTTTCTGAGTAGATTGATCAAATTTAGAATTTTAATTTGAATGATTAGACTAGAAAAGATTCGTTTATGTTTTTGATATGTTTAATAAGGATTTTCGTACTTTTTCGTAACATTTTTTTTTTTGTAACAAACCATACATAGCCCAACTATTTGTTAAAAATAGTTATACAGGGTATTTCTGGATAAATGGATCAAATCTAGAATTTTAATTCGAAATATTAGACTAGAAAAAAAAAAATTCTATTGACGATTCGGCGTGTGTTTATATTTTTGATATGTTTAATAAGGATTTTTCAACTCTTTTGTAACAGTTTTATTTTGCTGTAACAAACTGTCCATAGTCCTACTGCTTATTCAAAACAGTTATACGGGGTGTTTCTGGATAGATTGATCAAATTTAGAATTTTAATTCGAATGATTAGACTAGAAAAAAAAAGTTCTATGAAGATTCGTTTATGTTTTTGATATGTTTAATAAGGATTTTTGTACTTTTTCGTAACAGTTCTTTTTTTTTGTAACAAACCGTCCATAGCCCTGCTCCTTCCTAAAAATAGTACATAGCCCAACTGTTTGATAAAAAAAGTTATACAGGGTATCTCTCAATAAGTGGATCAAATTTAGAATTTTAATTCGAAAGATTAGACTAGAAAAAAAAGTTCTATGACGTAACAGTTTTTTTTGCTGTAACAAACCGTCCATAGCCCTACTGCTTAAAAATAGTTACACGGGGTGTTTCTGGATAGATTGATCAAATTTAGAATCTTAATTCGAATGATTAGACTAGAAAAAAAGTTATGTGAAGATTCGGTGTTTGTTTATATTTTTGAAAAGTTTAATAAGGATTTTTTGACTTTTTCATAAGTTTTTTTTTTCTCAACGAACCATTCACACTCATGCTCTGTATTAAAAATACTTATACAGGGTGTTTCTGGATAGATCTGCCAAATTTAGAAACTTAAGAGTGATTTAGAAGAAAAATTTCTCTGAAGATTCAATGTTTGGTGTTTTGTTATATTTTTTAACCGTTTCGTATTTTTTTTTTTTCACCGATTCATGGCTGTGCATTAAAAACACTTATACAGGATGTTTCTGTCAAATCTGCCAAATAAAAATTTTTAATTGGAATGGTTAAAAAAGAAAAAGCTTTGTAAAGGAACGTTTGGAAACATTTCGTTTATCGAGACGCACAGTGTTGGAAAATGAAAGAGTTGATGTTTTCTAAAATATTTTTCAGACAGTGGTAAAATCGTATTGTACAAAGCTCCATTATTAATAATTAATTTGTGCCAATTAAGCAAGCTTACATGATTTTTTAATTTGTTGTGTTTAGAAAATTGTGGGCAGTCTCTCGGATACGGGTATTTCTTACAAAAATGTCACTAGTTTTCATAATTATTTATTATTCTCACCCTGTAGAATATTACCTGGCTCTTAAAGTTGGGAGTTGAAAATCGAATGATCTTTATAACTTTTCATGAAATTTGGATAGTTTTCTTTTGAATGTTGTTGTTTATCAAAAGCACTTTTTTGGCAAAGGAGCAAAGCACCTTCGGCATCATGACTCCCTGAAAAATTTATAGTTAAAAATTCCATCACAGTTTGTACTTTTTAATGATATTGCGAAGGAAAAGCCTCTTGTCATTTTATTTGAAACACACATTTTCAAGTTACTGCTTTATTAAACTTTATTGAAGCTAGAAATTTTATATTTCTTTGCAGAACTTTTTTCTTTTATTTTGATTTCCCAAATTAAAATTTTGCATAAGTTGCTACTAATTTGTAGGGGGCAAGAATCTCAAATAAATTATTATGTAACACCAAAATAAACTTTATTACTCTCGCAACTTATAAAAAAACTGTTGCCTAACATAAAAAACAAAAACATAAATATCCTAGCAAATGTAAAATATGAATAAAATTTGAAGTAATACTGTATTTAAAGCTAATATAAAGAAATTACATATAAAGTGTATAAAGTTATCAACAATAATAAAAATTTAATAAAAATCACACCGACAATTTAAAAAATTACAAAATGTGTATGGCAAAAATACAATACTATTTATGATTGTGACACGAAGTCAAAACGCCATTCGTCAGCCTCCTAAAAACAGGATGCCTTCTGTTTTGTTGAGTATTAAACGAACAATATTTCCTTGTATGTGCCTTATCGCCTGTGGCCCCACAAAGGTCACAAACGTATTTCCTCAAAATGGGGCACACGATGGTGCCATCGGATGATTTGGTAACGTGTGACATATAAATGTCGGACAACTCCCCGTTTTTATAACAGAACTTGCAGAAATCGTACTGTTTGGTAGCTCGGCTGCTTTTTCCTGGCTTTGTAGTGTTAGTCGCCTTGTTTTCCGGTCTTGCAAAATCCTCCAATGACAAAGATTCCGGACTCTTTCGGTTTGACACCGAAGGGTTTGCAAACTGCCTTATAAAGTCCTCAGGTGTTAAAGCACCTGCTACGTCACCGGAAGTCTGCTCCACAGCAAATTGCTGTGGTCTGTTCTCCTTTGAGGAATTATTAATGGGTGTAGATGTTCTACCTATGGGAAGAGAAAATTCTGATCTCGCGCTACTTAAATCTGGTTCGTGAAGTAACTTTTTCATCTCCAAGTGGGCGAAATATTTGTTCAATGCTTCTTCGGCGCCACACATAGGGAGAGGTGTGTGGCTAGTGGAGAAAACAGGCAAAGTGACACCCTCCCTAAGGGATGATCCTAGATTGCAGCTACCCAAACAGGGTTCGTTGGAACACCTCGAATTAAAACCAGGATTTAAATAGTTTAAAGGCAGTTCAGCTGTTCTAGCAACAAAATTGGTGCTTGCAGCAGTAGCAACATTCGAGTAAGGCCACATTTCGTAAGACAACTTCGAATAGGCATTGTGAGCTTGCATCCTTGCATCGATGGAGTTCGTAGTGGAAAAAAGACTTTCTTTCTGGAAGATGCTCTCCCTCAGAAAATCCGATGATTTATTCGCAAATGTGTCGCTCCACACTTTGTATAAGAACGAATCGAGCTCCTTGGACCTGCCGCTATTTGTGGACTCTTGACCGAACGAGATATCTTCGAGAAAGAAAGGAGAGTACCAATCTTCCTTTGAGAAAGTCGAGGTAGACGGAAGAACCGTGTTGGAGTAAACATTTGAAGATCTTGGACCTGTTGCTTCTCTCGGGCTTGCTATGGAACCAGAGCTGCTCGAGGACCAGGTTTCGCTAACTTTGGAGCTTATCGGTGATATGCCGTAGATGCTTTCTGTTTTATAGAGAATGAGTTATATTTGTTTGATATTTACATGTGCAATATGTTAAAAATAATTCAAGAAACAAACACATTTTTAAAATCGGCTGGAGAAAATTAAGGTCGTCACGTTTTGATAATGAAACGTATCTCTCACTGTTTAGATGATTTCTATGCCCACATAGTCGACAAAAAATACCTTATTGTATTCATCAGTTGATTATCAAACAGAATATTTTACACATGTATGTGCAGCCTTTGTCGACTTCTTAAAGGAGGCAACCTCAATCAAAATTTTATATTTCACAAATTTCTTTTGAAATTATTTTATGGAAGTCTTCAGTATGAGCATAGAGAATTATTCTCTCATTATCAAAATCCTCCACTGCATAATACAAAAAAAACAAAATTCAAGAAGACATTGTAGTACACGACATAACAAAAACTAACAAACTTTGGAGTACGTAGACCTTACAAAAGTAATGGAAGTAAACTATAAGTAGGTATATTTTTTCTCTAAAATGCTTTATTGAGGAATTCCCAAATATACTGTTTATTCCAGCTATGATTCATATTCTGTACTACTTAGTGATAAATTACGTAATTCAGAGGCAGATATTTAGTGTAGCGACTTGCTATTTCCGTAGAATTTATACACTCGATTTCTTAGTTTTTTCATTAAGATATTGTCTGTAATTATTTATTTGCAGCATTTTCAGTTATTCTTTTTATTTAATTGGGTATTTCTGTCACACTGAAAACGAAATATTTTAAAATAAGGAGCACCTTGCACCAAAAGAATCAGTTGAGGGGCAAATCACACTGAAAAAGTAGATAATAATTTTTCAGGACTAGATATACCTAATCATTGACATTAAACAGTTACTGTTTCGAAAAACTCTTTTGTGTTATCAAATCTTATCACTGAAAGTTGTGTGTCAACAAAGAAAAAACCGCCACCTTTGACTAATAGCAGAGACAACCCTTGTCTCCTGTTCCAAACCACATCGAACTTGGTTAGCTTCTGGTGTTATGTTAGGAGATAGAAACATATCCATCTCACCAAAATTCTTTCGATTTGGGATTTGGGTCATATTTGGGTTTAGCTTTAGGTGTATCTAACCTCAATTAGGGATGGGCAAAAATAACCGGTTAAATGAATAACCGATTATTGTGTGTCGGTTAACCGGTCAAAAACCGGTTATTTCACGACTTCGGTTTAACCTGATAACCGATTATTTATATCAAAAACCGCGTGCCGGTTATTTTACCGAGATCGAGTGAAAATTTTAGCTCTAGCTCACTGTACGATTAAAGTATATTGTGCTCTATCCCTAAACTTGATAGTAGATCAGACCACAGCATAGATAAAATAAATATTTATTTTGCTGTGATCAGACTTAAGCCATCGTCGGCCGGACATTCTATTTAGTGGTATGTGGGTCGGCTACGCTAATTAGGCTTCCTTAACGGGACAAAACATATTGGTCATTATGAAGTGTCAAAATAACAATAAATTTCAGCTGTCAAATCAATGATTTATTTCTCCTCGATATGAAAACCTAACCATTTGATAAAGTTTTAAAAAATAAATATAAGCACTGCTTGGTGTTTGAATAAAAGTAAAAAAATATAAATTTTTAAATCAGATACATGACTACACAGTTTTTTAATACAGAGATAAATTAGAGCACTCACAAAAATTTAAAAGGGCCGGTTACTTCAATAACCGGTTTTTAGGTAGAGGTTAACCGATTCAGGTTTAACCGACTAAGAAAAATAACCGGTTAAACGATAACCGGTTATTTTTAATAACCGCCCATCCCTAACCTCAATAATCACTTTATTTAAAAAGTAAAACTGAGACAATATAATTAGACAAAGACAGAGATATTAACTTGATCCAAACTTCAATTAACCATAGTTTTTTAACTGTGTAATGTTTTCAGTGATTATTGTACAATGGTGAAGAATATTATTATCTACTTCTCTATTAATATCAAATCAGTGAGGTATTTGTGGTTAAGCAAAACTAAATTTATAGAATTAATTTTGGGATCCCCGTAACAGTGTTGCAGGAAATAAGCAATCAAATAGAAAAAATTTTTTTTTATTATTTATTCTGTTTGAAAGTAAAATATTTTTATGATTTTCCCGTATATTTTCTAGTTGTTAAGTTTTTTTATAAGATAATGCAGTTAGGATATGAATAAAATGTAATAAAATTGTGTATTAAAGTAATTGTGAGTTGAAAAAAATCGGATAATTCGAAAAAAAAATACAGCGTAAAAATGACAATATATTTTTCGGAACTACAACGTCTCTATCTCCTTAACGAAACATTTTAGAAAAAAAAAAACTATATATGGCTTACACTCATTATTTTTGTGACATTTGTCACATTTGTGTATCCGCGAAGTTCGTTAGCCGTTTTAGTTACACCCGCCAGTATATTTTATTTTGTCAAAATATATCCTTAACAATAATATACAGGGTGTTTCAGAAAGACCTCCCGTAAATTCAGGGGGTAATAGTACGACAAAAAATAAGAATGTTTTGTCTTATGATCTTATGAACTATATGTCTATCTCCTCTTGTTTTCGAGATACAGAGCGACAAAATAAAAATTTTTAAATAGAATTTTTACGAAAATTTCCAAACGGTGCGAAATATTTTTATGAAATTTGGTATTCTGGGGTTTTTAAGGACGCCAAATACGCTGGTCTAATTATTTTTGTATATTTTATAGAGGGCGCTAGTTATGCTACATTCGTATTACATTTTAAGTTCTAATTTTGTTGAGGTTAGGTTAGGAGGCATTCGGGCTCCAAATTGTACAATTTTATTTTCTAAAAATAATGTACTCTTGTTAGAACTTCCTAATGTGGACGATTTTCGACAAAAAAGCTTTTAATTGAACTCTTACAATATTACGGTGTAGAAAATAAGTGACCTTTCTCAAAGTAGGCTTATGTCAATACTTATTGATGAATGTCTTATAAACAACGCATACATTGTCAGTAATATTTTAAACTCTAATTAACTTTATATCAAAATTTTAGTGACTGTAATTTGTCATTACTAACTTCAGTCACTAACAATCACTAAAATTTTGGTATAAAGTTAATTAGAGTTTAAAATATTATATTATATTATATTACATATGCCTACTTTGAGAAAAGTCACTTATTTTCTTCACCGTAATATTGTCAGAGTTCAATTAAAAGCCTTTTTTCTTGAAAACCGTCCACATTAGGAAGTTCTAACAAGAGTACATTATTTTTAGAAAATAAAATTATACATTACAAATTGGAGCCCGAATGGTAAAAAACCTAACTTTAAAAAAATTAGAACCTAAAATGTAATACGAATGTAGCGTAACTAGTGCCCTCTATGAAATATTCAAAAAATAATTAGACCAGCGTATTTGGTGTCCTTAAAAACCCCAGAATACCAAATTTCATAAAAATATTTCTCACCGTCTGGAAATTTTCGTAAAAATTCTATTTAAAAAATTTTATTTTGTCGCTCTGTATCTCGAAAACAAGAGGAGATAGACATATAGTTCATAAGACAAAAACTTCTTATTTTTTGTCGTACTATCACACCCTGAATTTACGGGAGGTCTTTCTGAAACACCCTGTATATATTCCTAAATTTTAATTTTTTATTTTACATAGTTGCTAATACAATTTTAAAATAATTGCACTTAAAAAAATCGCAATGCGCATTTTTTATTGGGTCTATTTGACGAAAAATATTTGAACTTCACTTGTTTAAAAATAATAATACATAAATCGGGATGCCCTGTACAGTGTATATCCCAGGTTACAATTTAAAAACAAAAAATTACACTTACTGTTTTCCTCGTACGACTTAAATTGAATGGAACTGTTTTCTAAACTTTCGGAGAAATCATCATCAGACTCGTTGAGGAAATTCAAGTGATCCCTTATAAATTGCTCTTCATCAAAGGTCGTGTCATTCGGATCGTACATTTTAAAATTTTTTCTAAAACAAAGTTCGCTTTTCTTCTCAAAAACGTACCTTCCTCAAAAGAAGATTTTGGAGCGAATGTAGAATGTGAATTTAAATATTTAAAATTAATTTCCACCCCCCAGTTGCAAGAACTGCGGTGGAGGGGGCAGTAGTAGCCATTGACGAATAAGAAGCCATCCATCAAAGACGATTCCCAGAAATGCATTCTTCCAAAAAAGTTTACTACGCAGTTCTCGGAAATGTATCTCTATCCAACTTCCCAAAAATTCTTGGAAATAAAAAATGAAGGGTTAAGCTGTGGGCGAATAAGCGCAAAAAATCGAACAAAAAAGAAAGAATTTCATTAAAAATTTAAAAACGTCCTACATTTTTTTTGCATAACTCTATTTACTCTTGACTGCGCACCTGCGCCGCACT